ATCTCTGAACCAAGCTCTCTCTGAGATCCTCTTCCAAGGATCACACAGAGTCATACATCACTGTGTTGACTGAGCAGGAGGACAGTATCACAACAGCAGTGAGAGAGGTAGAGAAAGAATCAGACACAGACAAACTGATCAGCAGAAGAGATGACATCTCACTGCAAGGCACAGCTGCTATCACCACAGCTGTAAGAGATGCAGAAGGAGAAGAAGATGTGATAATGAAAGTAGTACTCTCACAGCTCATTGACACTGCTGTCTCTGTCTTCAATCTAGCTTTCTTAACAGTCATGAAGACTGCAGCTGCATCATGAAGACATTTAATCACTAGAAAATATCAGAATAAGCTCTTTATTATCTTTCAAGAATGATACTCTCATACATTCACTATTATAATTGAGAAGAGAGAGAAGAAAAATATATTACAGAGAGAAGAGATCTTTTTAAAAAATTCTATTACTACTGTTAGCTTTGCTTCTAAAAATATATCACTTTTGCAGAGAATTTCATATACAGAATGAAATATAATAGAAGATCTGTAAGTCACTTATTAACTACATTTTTCACATTTCAAATTAATATATAAGAAACTCACTTATAACACATTTAATTTGAATGAAGATAAGAAAAGAAAGATTTATATAGTCAGCAGAAAAACTTATCTATTTATTTATATTATATACAGCATATACACTGTCAATCAGTTGATAACTGTTGCTATATAACAAAGATAGCTTCTAATTCAGTAATCTTAAGAGCATCAGAACTATGCTCTTAAAGAGAAGAGTATTATCACACTCTCAGCTGTATCAAGATCTTATTGTGATTTCATATAGCTTATCACTTTTATGTGAATAATTTCATTCTGTCTGAACTGGTTTCTAATCACTCTATAATATTATTCAGATATATCAAAGAAAGATCTAATTAATAAATATGAGAATCTTACTTCTATACAAGATTAGCAGATTACTCTTTCTTGATAGTGAGATGCTGTTGAGGTATCACTTCAGCTATTCTCACTCATGAAATGAGAGAAGAGTATCTGCTCATTATCTATATAAAATAGCTAGATGCTGGCTTCTTATCAAAGAAGTCAGTGATTTGTTTTTCTTCTACTGAAATATATACAAGAGTTACTGCATTTCTCATTCAATCTTCTTAGTATACTAAGTATTATATCTGTGATATTCTCATAATAACCCTGTAGTCTACAAGCTCACTATTTAAGCAAGATAGTTAAGCTCACTTATACAGCTTTTCAAACAACTATCTCTACATGACACCGCTGACTAGCCACTGCTTCGGTTCTGTCATATTACAGAAACATAATTTTTTAAACATATCTGCTTAATTCTGAACTTTTTTTTGCAGCTAAATCAGTCAATTCATTATTATAAATATTCATATAAGTCAGAACTTAGTGTAAATGAATTATCAGTTTTAATATTCTTCTTTTTTGAATTTTTAAAACAGAGTTTAAAATCAGTTTAAGATTCATTTGATTATTATGAATCTGACTATTTCTAAGTCTTTTTAAAAAAGCCTGACTATTAGAGAATATTTATATCTCTTGAAAACTATTTTCTCTTTTATATGATTTTATTTTAATGAGTTTGAAAGTGTTGACTATTATAAATGATTCAGTATTAAAGACTTCAGCTTCACAATCTAAATTTCAGAAATCTGAGATAAAATTGATATTATGTTCAGTATAAGCAATGTTTGTATCTAATCTATTCAAATTCTCATTTTTTGAATTATCTGAGTAAATCAGAATAGAGTCTTTTATATTGATTATAGAGATCTTCTTCAAATACTATTCATATTCTCTTTTCTTAGATAGTTCACTTATTTATAAGTCTATAAGAGATTTTAGTTTATCTCTTCAGAGAGATATCTTCTTATGATTAATTTTCTCAATATTTAATAAAGAAAATTAATTTTTAATAAGTGAATATAATCTATACAGTTGAGAGAGCATTTTCTTTAAAGTATTATTCTTATTTCAATCAAGAAATCTATTTTAATTCAGTTCATTTTCTGAGTTAACTGATAAAAATGAAGAAGAGACTCTTTCTCTGATTATATAATTTAAGCTCATCTTTATAACTCTCAGAGTATAGTTTATACAGGCTTTTTCAAACTGAATAGTAGAAGATAAGATTAAAGCTTCAATTTTCATTACTTTAGTAGAAGATGATTTAAATACTCCCAGAATTCTTCTCAAAACTCTGTTTTATAGACTTTCAAAGAGTTTGATGAAATTATCTTGATTATTTTATCACACTTGAACTTCATAATCAGCTACTGAGATAATACAGGCTATGTATAACTATCTCATAGTCTGAAAGAATAGACTTCTCTCAGTATTTAATAGTCTGATTATACTATTCAGTAGTATCTCTGTCTTGATAATTCTTTATTGAATATGATATTTAAAATTTAACTTGAAGTTTAATTATACTTTTAATCATTTAACATTTAAACTGAGTTTAATCTCTTTATTTAAAAGAGTTAGACTTAGTTCTTTCTCATTAAATCTGAGGAAAAAGTGAATTAACTCAGTTTTATTCATATTATATTAAATTAGATTAATATCTACTTTAATAAAGATTTTCTTTACTGCTTTCTCAATCACTTTTAAATTCTCTTTAATTATCTTTGAACTGTAGAGTAGATTAATATCATCTATATAACTTAAAGATCTCACTATTTTCATATCTCTATTCTCGAGTAGATATATAGTGTATATTATAAATAAAACAGATGAGATTGAAGATTCTTACAGTATTTTTATTTTTATCTCAGTCTTATCTTATTTTCTTTTGTCAAAGAATAGTTATTTAATTCTTTTAGATATAAAATAATTAACTCATTTTATTAGAGAAAGTGACAGTTTTAACATCTTTCAAGTTTGAATTATTATAGACTGTGAAATATGATTAAATATATCTTTGATATCAATAAAAACTGCAGTTGAGATCAGATCTTTATACTTTGCTACTTAAATATTATAAATAACTGAAAGAACAATATTAATTGCAGAATATTGTTTTCTATCTCTTATTTATTCATTAAATAGAAGAGAATCATTAATAGAGCTTATAAAAGATAATCTAGTAGCTATTATCTTTTCTAGAATTTTTTTTAAACAGTTTAATGAAGATATTACTCTATATAACTTAGAAATTGAAGCTTTTCTATTAAACTTTGCAAGGATTACTTCAGTAGCTTCTCTTCAGTATTCAGAATAATAATTATTTTTTAAGAGATTGAAAAAGAGCTCAAAATATTAATTCTTAAAGTAGAAATATATATTTTAAATAATCAAGTGATTAATTGAATCAGGCCCTGCAGCAGTTTTAATTGAACTTGAGAATATTACTGACTCCAGTTTATCATATATAAGCTCAGATCATTCTCAGTTATTTTTATCAATATATTCATAAAATGATATATTCTTCTCTTCTAAATGTGATGAGTTTTGAAAGAGGATTTTTATAAAAGCTTAACACTTTTTCTCAAAAGAGTTTACTGTATATGATTTATTCTGAAATTTATATTCTAAGATTAAAAGCTTTGCTACACTTCTTATTTTAATATAGTTAAAGACATTAAAAACTTCTTTTTCTTATACTTCTTTAAGAAATTTGTTTCAGTAATCTGTTTTAACTCTTTTAATATCTGAAAAATATTCATTTTAAATACTTTTAAACTCTTTATCAGATATTAAGTTATTCTTTCAATCTCTCTTAGCAGTGATTAATTGCTTTCTTTTAGAAGTGATATTCTTATTTTATCAAGATTTGAAATACTCAGAAGACTTTTTCTTTGAAATATTTTCTCTAATACTTGTTAGAAGAATAGATGTAATCAGCTTTACTCTATTCTTAAGTATTTCATTTGAGATATCTTGACTTTGATTTCAATAGAGCTCACTCTATTTTTCAGATTTCAGCTGTTTTACTCTTTCTTCAACTGCTTTTTAATCAGCTTTTTCAAAGTGATACTGATTAGAGAGAAGAGGATTTTCACTTCTTTATTTTTCACTCAGTTTAATATCAAATTGAATAATTTCATGACTCAATTCTGAGGTGTCATTTGAATTAATAAATTACTTTATAAGTCTTTTTTCAATTAGATTTTATGATATGAAAGTTAGATCTATAATAGATTTCTATTTCATATCTTTTCTAAAGAATGTTTATTGATCAGACTTGTTAACTAAATCTATTAAATACTTAAAAGTTTATTTAATTAGTTTATCTGCTCTTACTGCTCTTATGCATTCTGAGTTTTATCAGAAATAATATAAATTGAAGTTTTCTACAATTATAGAGTTTTTTAAGAAAATTATATTTAAAAATTCTCTATTAATTGTTCATTATTATTATTATTATTCTTCAATTATAGATGTATACAGTCAGAGACTATAATATCTATCTGAGAATCTTTAGATTTCAGAGTTTTTCCTATATCTATAGAGTCAACTATTATACATTTATCAATTTCAGATATACAAAATCAGAAAATTTCAGCTTAGAATACAAAAACTCTTTATAAATTGCAGTATTTCAACACCTTCTCATACCTTGAAATCATTTGAAAATATCATGACAAAGGAAAAGAGAATATAGTCTTAAAGATAGACATATTAAATAGATAGATAGAAAAGAACAGAAAGAAACAAGTACAGTAAAGAAAGACTATAATAAAATAAAATTATTAAAAGATAGTATATAGATGTTTTAACAGACTATATCTAATTAATTTCTGCCTCTTCATATTCAGATACTTCTGAATTCAGCCATTTTCTTATAGCTGCTTGAGTTTCTGATAGAAAGTCTATTAAGTACTACGGGTGCTAGCCACCCGCAGAATGCATCTTAAGCTAATTACATTTAACCTTCTATAATTAACTGATTACTGTGTTCATTCTCTTGAGCCAGTCACTAATTTCCAGAGATGTTAGTTAGTGACTGTCATCACTCACTTGATAATGTATACATCAAGCTTTCAGTTGCTGATCTCAGCTTCATTAGATGTTAATAGATCTATCAATCAGCTGTCATGACCTCACTCTGTGTTAGAGACTAATTATAGACTTGATAACTACAGTTCTTCCTGTCAGTATTAGAGCTTGACAGTGAGCTTGCAGACTCTAGCCTATCAGAGTACTCTGTCTAAAGCCTAGATACATGTCTAGATCTGCTAGTCAGGTGATTTTCAGAATCATTCTCTGTATTTAAGAGAAAGCTAGGCTCTGATAACAGTTCTAATTAGAGACTTGCTTAAGCAGTGTATAATCACT